CGGACCAGACGTACAAGAAGAAAGAGACGAGAGGAGTGGCGCGGCGCTGCGGCCAAGCAACGGCGGCGGATGACAGCAGCCAATTGAAGGGAGAAAAGGCAACGCCAGATCGCTTCCAGACGCTCCGGAATCACTCGCAGGCCGAACGCATTCAAAAAAGCACTTAGCATTGGGGTGTGAAATATCAATATTCTTTAGTTATTTTGTAAAAATCAAATCAGTGGTTCCTTTCACGATGTATACGCGTTTTTTTATTACACGGGAATGAAACATTCTGGTTTTAAAATGTTGCCAGAAAAACGTGTTGGCTTTATTTATAATTCGACTAGTATGTATAATTAAAGGGGTAGGGCATCTCCCCCGTACACCACCTACTCTTGTTGCTGGTTTTTGGCAGTAACTGATATAAATATTTCTCAAATATTTAGGCATAATGATTCCCCGATTTATTCAATGTTTATATTAATTTACATACATTCCCAAGCAATGACGCGAGGTATGATTTAAATGTAAATTTATGTGATCCAACCTCTTGTAATTGGGTATAATGTTACTATTTTCTGTAGTATGATTCCACAAAAAACAAATTAATATTCTAACTGTTACACTTTCCGTCAAGGAAAGGAGAAGGAAAATAAACCGAAACGTCGGCAATTTATCTTTGAGGTTTCGTGGTGTCATTACAATCAATTACAACAACTACACCTCATTCATTTACTGCTCATGGATTTCAGCCAATTCTTGAAGAGATAATGTTGTTTACTGTCAATTTGTACTTCAAAATTGGTTTTGAAAGAGTATTATTTTTTCGATTGCCCTTAAGACTAAATCATTTAGTAAATACAAAAAATGCCGATACCGAAATATGAAATTAAGGTTTAAAGTTCTTATGACATTATTATTATTATTATTATTATTATTATTATTATTATTATTATTATTATTATTATTATTATTCGATATTTTGCACGAAAACGTATTCCACCTCCGTATGTCCTCACTCAAGGCAACATTACCTTTCGTGCTGTACTGAACCGCAAATTCGTTCACAGAATGTGTTTTATCCGCCCGAGTTAACCACATCTCTTCTTAACAGAGCAACGTACACATTAAAAGTTCAAAAATATTTATGCCAAAAAGCATTACGAACACAGTGAAGATAGTTGAACCAACTCCTCCGTCTCCTCAAGAAATACAGAAACTGACTACTTACGTTCGTGACAGTTTTAGACATGACATGGTGGCCAAGGTTTGCTGAATGGGGAAAACGGTAAGGCAAAATTTAAAAATGTAATTTTAACCATTTTTTGTCCCTTCTACCTGATCGACGTCGGACTCCTGTGGGTGCAGAATTTGCTTTGACACGATGCTAGCAATGAGTCCCAACAACTGAATAAAGAACTTGGCATTTTATAAGCACTAGCACTGAACTTCCAATTGGCATCAATACAATTTAAAATATGGTGTTATGTTAACATTCGGAGATATCAGTAATATTACAAATAAATTATATATTACACGTATAGTACATACATGATATAGAAAGTATACATTATAAAATTAACGTTCGGGGACATGCTATGGCATTGAATAAATTTACTATTATTACAGAAGTATATTTTGTACAAATTTGTTATGTAATCATTTGCGAATGCCCGGTCGGTTTCTTTCATACTTTGCAACCCAACGCGCTGAGGTGAGACACTGCACTGAATAGACCGAGTTAACCGTTGACCCCTTTATTCGTCGGTAAACCGTGCCACTCGGGACGCGGGGTGACTTTACGGACCTTTCTAATTGTGTCCATTTACTCTAAAAATCGAAAGACATCGAAATTTGCCATTCTGCGTTTCGTCGATTTGTCCATTGCAGTGCCCCGTGATGTTGCATAAAACATGGAGCGCTAAGGAAAAAGCAGCAGTGATCAGCAAGTACGGAGGTAGTGGGAAGCTTCAATTTCTTAGTTTTCAAACGTGCTTGATGCTGCCACTACTGCTGCGTTGTCCACTACTGGTGTCTTTACCCTAAATGCCGCGCCCATTGTCTTCCTCTCTACTTTCCTTCACCGGCCCACCCACT